AACTATTCCCAGTACTGGCCCCCTCATGGTTAGACCCCTGCCATTCTGATTTCATTCACGTAATTAAGGGTGAGTGGAATAAACTGGCTTCTAGTGGGCCATGTCATAGGCCGGATAAATAACCTTACAGTCTCCCTTGTGCCATAATGGACAGGCCTCAGGTCCCCCTAGTGGGCGCCCTGGTGTCTGCCACATTTTTTTCTTTTAAGGATGGAGAGGACACACTGAAAATTGTCTAAGACAGAAGGGCAGTGCCACCCTTCCAATAGGCACATGAGGACATGTCTGTGGCTATCAGGGTTACTGCTGCCACCTCCATGAACATGGGACCTATTGGAGGAGATTACCCTGCAGGCCACCTGGCTTAGGCAGGGTCTTAATATTTGGTCCTGGCTTCAGCCTTCACAGCTCAGGCTGTGGCCATTACAGTCCACCATCAACCCTGGGTCAAGGACTGGAATGTGGACACTAAGTCTAAGCAGCACTTGGCATTCACACCTCTGACTGGGCTCCATGCCTTTTGAGAAATCCTTGGACTAGTTTTTTTTTAGTGGAGGATGAGAGGATAAACAATAAAAAAGATCAGCAAGCATGATGGGGCACCTCCAGTAGGGGGCAGATTATGAGACTTTGTCACGGTGTGCGAAGATTCTACCTCTGAACAGTGGTTCCTGGACAGAGTGAGATCAGGCCACCAGATGGAATTCATCCACAAGTCCCACAAGAGATTTCTCCCATTACTCAGGACAAAGAATTTAAAGGAGCATCACCTCCTCCTGGAAGCCATAGGCGAGTTGCTGCAGGTGGAAGCCATAGAAACAGTGCCTGCCTCGCAGAGGCAAGAGGGCTGTTAGACCATTTTTTTCCTGGTTATGCCTCAATCTGAGAGGCGTAAACAGACCCTTTTTTTAAAAAAAGAGTTTCCGGATGGCAATTATTCAATCCGTCCTCGAGGCAGTTCAGCCAGGGGACCTCCTGGGACCTTCGGGATTCTTATTTTCTCATCTCAATTCACCTGGATTACCATCAATGCCTGTGCTTCATCTATAACAACTGGCTTTTCCAGTTCTATGCTCTGCCTTGTGCTGGTCATTGGCCCTTCAAATGTTTACCGAGATCATAGTGGCACTGGTGGCTTACTGAAGGATGAGAGGCCTACACCTCTATTTTTGCCTAGACTATTTTTGCCTAGACTATCTCCTGGTGTGTCAACTTCAGAACAGCAGGGCCAGCGCATTGTACAAGACAGTCACAGAGGCAGCATGGCTTCCTCGTGAACTTCTCAAAGAACTCCCTGTCACCTTCTC